TCGTGGACTTGCCACGTCCAACTACTCCGCAGTTGCGCAGGGTTTCGATCTCATGTGGCAGACTGTGCAAGTGCAAAACCTAGCGACGTGGGGCATTCAGACAGACTGGTCATATCATTTCCATGGTTCACAACTGCTCACGGCAGCGTACGGCGATGCCTGGGCGACGAATATTTTGCATTTCCATCTCGCGACACGTGAGACACAATATGCGCTGCCGAAAGATCGCATTGAGACGTTCGGCGGAGTAGTTGGACGTGGCAAGTCCACGATACAGCTGTATTTGCAGCTCCCATACTAGATTAGCACCGCCACCCCAATCTTTGATCCACCAGTCAGCACGGTACGACATGGCGATGATAGCACCGATCTCCGCTGGACTCATTCGCTCTACACCCAGCATGAGCATTATACCCGTGGCGATGAGTGGATCTTGTATGTAATTCCACCACCAATTAGGATTCTGCCAATCTTGTTCCAGCCATACTTCCAGGGCACAGTGAATGGCAGATGACAGTGCTGTGTCATTCGTCATTCCACCGGGAACAGTCAGTGCTGCCGTCATTGTGGAAATACGAAACATATGCAAAACAGGATCCCAATTCTCTGGACCACGAGTCGTATAATTCAAGTCAGGCCATTGACAGGTATTCAGGTCAAGGATGCTTAGATTAGCGGCCGCTTGTGCAAGTGTGGCGGGAAGCTGGTCTGGTGTTGGCCATAGCATTATCTTGAGAACGTTCTCACGCACAATGGCGAAGTCATCTTGTGGGGTTGCCGTGGCAATGACTGTTATCACTAGCGCTACTAGAAACTGCGGAAAGCCTAAGATGATCGGACTGCCGTAAAGCTGCAGCACGCTCATAATTGTCATTAACATCGTGCGCCCTTAAGTGGAAAGAACATCATTAATCAGTTTTTCTCATACAATTAAAATTTATCCGTGTTAAAAACGTGTTTAAGTGTAATACAACAATCACTATAGAATGCTAAAGTCAGGCGAGTGAGAGAGATCCGAACGAATTACACGTAGTCTCTCCTAGATGAACCGAGTGACCCACATTACTTTTTCCAGCAATAATTGAACCACAAATCATCAGTGAGCAGCAGGATCTACACGTTGCAAGTCACTGAGCATTCTTTCCAGCAATACAAAATCAACTCATCTTCTCTGCCTTTCTCTTCTTCTAATATCAACAAAGCAACAAATACACCTTCGTTACACAAGCAAACACAGCCATCACTGATAACGCCAAGATTTCTTTAAGAGCATATTTTTTTCACGACCCTAAGTTTTATTTTTTTCGGTTTCAATTCTTTTGATAAAAGGATCTTCAACTTTTCTCTATCAAACGTTACGTAAAACAGAACTTTTCATTGTCTTTAGCTCTTGTAAAACATTCGATCTTCAGCACCTTCTATCTAGAAACAACCCTCTAACGTTATATCGAGGGACCAATTACGTATTGCACATACATTGTTTCATAGTTTGACTATATTGCTTGAGTGAATAATAGGTGTGCAAAATCACTGTATAAACACAACATTTGGTAATCTATGATGGCCCTTTAATAGATATATTGAGAGCATGATATATCGGGGAAAAAAATCTAACACAACACAAGGATATTTGTTGTACCATCAGGTTTAAGCATTTCTACGCTTATGTTTTGATTTATTTCAAATCTTATTGTCAAACTTTTGATGATCTCGTTGATCGTCGTGCTGTTCACCATGCTGCAACACAGAGCTGCTTACCTTTACTGCACTTGCTCTTAGTGGCAACACAAAAATGATCGGTTTCGGAAGAATAAAGCAAAATATAAAAATAAAGCGATATCGACAGGATCTTATCGAGTTTGTCGAGGTAATAAAAGGTCTCTCTTTTTTAATTTTTTAAATGTTTTCGTAAAGGGTGAAACTTTAAAAATACTAAATGTCCATAGTTCTTACAAAACATTAAAGTTTGATTCAATGACTAAAAGTTTGAAAAAATATCCGAATAATTATTTAATTTTCTACATAGTGTGGTGAATACATTAGCATGACAACTCTTCTGAATTTTATATGCATTTAATTCC